TTGAATATTGTGTCCATACTTGTCCAAACTGTTCAGAGTTCGACCTCTGCGGTCATATCCAGCTGCTCCGCATTTTTGTATTTAAGGTGACAACCGTTTGACTATCAAGGAACGTAGATGTCCAAGTGAAAAGGTGCTTTTCTATACCTGCGATTTCGTTCTTGAGACTTTTCAACAAAATATCGAATCATGTCAGTTGTTGATTTAATATTGAAAATTTTACTGAACTATCCCTTATACATTTTTAAGTTGTTTAATTCGTCTTCCTTTTTGAAAGAGGTCAATTTGCTATTGCTCATTCATAAAATTATCGTAAAATAACTACGCACGCTATAGTCATGTAATCTAATCTTACATTATTTGTTTTAAAAGTAGAACAATTTGCGCGTTCTAATTACACTTGCAATGTTTTTAATACGAACCCTGTTATATAATAAGGGCTTCCTTAATTGCTGATTGATACTGATAGACTCCACTCTGTAAAAACAATTATATAATAATCAACTGATCAAGGTTACTTCCCGAGACAGTGTCAAATGTCATAATGACCCTTTAGTTTATGCAATTGAAAATGATTACCTGTGATTCTCGGAAATTAAAAAGTTTTGTGTTTTATATTCTGAATTGTTAAACCCAAATAATCTTTTCACTTACTTTTACAATGTTTCGTCATGTCTGGTTTTGTGTAATGTGTGATCGGCGTGTTTGCATTAGACGGTTAAAAATAGAACTTACTAGTCTTGACCATGTAGAACATCGTTAAGCGTAATTACAATGACTTCATGAAACTTTTAACTGAACATTTCTTTATTTAAAAATCCATTGTGTTATATATTTTACGCGACCATGGTAATGAAAGGGGTGAAGCGTGAGCCAATTCACAGGTTAATCAACTGTTAACTAGCATTTCATGAAAATTTCAGAAGACTGGGGGTTCCATCTTCAAATCTTTAATCGGTATGTATGGATGAATGATTCTTATTTAAAAAAAAATATAGTTCGGTAGAATATTTGTGTCATAACCCAAATAATACAGTCGTTATATTACGCACACTATTGATCACTACATTAACGTAACTAAGACGGAGAGAATCGGAGATGATAAGGGCTTGAATTATTCGAGTTACTCGCGTCACAAAAGTTGAAATCATCAACTGAGTGGTCAAATTTAAATCAATTATGATAATTAAAATTAAAATAAAAGCAATACAGATAAATGATGCCATGTAGATTATCAGGTAAAGTTATTGCCCAGTAATAAACACCCTACAAGGGGGCTAATCTGTTATGATTTTTTCGGGAGTTATTCGTTTCCACAAATATATTTGCCTCCACCGTAAGCCTGGTAAATACATTCTGTACCAAACAAACTTCATTTAAGATTTGTACATAACCCAAAACACTCTCCAAGTTTAAATATTTATCCACTCAATTATAAAAAAAATAACAATGCATCTGAAAATCTCCAATCATGATTTTGCAATCTCTTTTTTTTTATAAATCTGTTATTATCATGAAAACAAAAATAAGTCAATAGGAATATAAAAGACATTCTCCAACTTCTCTATTTCTTAAAATTTCTGAAGATTTGTGCTTTGATCAGTTGTACATAAAATTGTGGACTTACACGTATCAGCATGCCTGACGTTTACTTTTTTATTAAAAAAATACGTTTTTGAGAAAACTTGGACAGATATTAGTTAGATCGTCATATGGGATGGTAATGGTATACTTATGTTACATTTATACACATATAATCATTTTGGGATCATAAGAAGAATAATACATTATCTCCTTATATCCGTAGGTCTTAATGATTTTAGCTGATATATATTTTTTTTAAAATGAAACAACATTCTGAAATATGAAAAGTAATAATATAAAAAAAATGCATTAAAAACAGGCAGCAATATATTTGCTTTTACCCAAGTGATTTTATTTTTGTTTGATTGTCTGATTGCTTATGTTTCACATCAGTTTTCATAAGAATCAACCTAATTGATTTAGGAAATAGGAATACCAAGGATTATTATAGCCAACTGACCTTGAGTTAAGTAGCAAACACCAAAGATATATGTTGCAAAGTTTAATATATAAATATTTCATAAACAAACTAAAGAATATTAATGTTGAAAAAAACAGTTCCTAGAGAGGTTTCATTCAATATAAGTATTAAAAATACGTCACAATTGAATATTTTTTCTCAGGATGGTGTATCAGATATTTTTATTTGTGGTATGAAGGACAGAAACCGTGCTTTGAATGGTGACATAGTAGCTGTGGTTCTACATGACAGGGATAACTGGAAGGTTTGATACTTTATATAAATTGATTAGATAAATACTGATTTTCATGCTGCAAATGAAAGAACATTTAACATATATCTTACATTAAAACAGAATAATTTAATTTTGGATGTAACACGTCTTCTGATTGGCTGAAAGTGTTTTGTCTATCAGCTCATAAACATAATTTTGTCATCTGACCGTGACGTTTTTTTTCAAAATTTACTCCTTAAAAATGGATTTTAGAATTAAATTATAAGGAATGACTGTAATATTTTTTCTGTCTATTCGAAATAACCTAAAAAATGTGATGCACACTTTTAAATAACCCGCGGGTTATTCAGTGTGCCCCACATTTTTTATGTTATTTCTTCATAATCAGAATAAATATTACAGTCATTCCTTAAATAAAAAAATGTATATATCAGTTCAATCAGTTTAATCACAGATACTTGTAATAAATTTTATTTTATATTTTAAGCTGTAGAAGTATTTTATTTTATTTTTGATTTATATGACAGTTACGTAAATGAAATTTATTTAATATAAATGGTTTTTTTTTAAAGTTTCATCATATCCATTTTTAAACTAAATTAAAGGCAAGTTCCTTTTATTTGTTTTATTAGTACTTCCAAAATCTTTGAAGAATTTGGCTTTTTTCTTAAATTATACATGATTTTAATTTCAGATACATATAAACAATTTAAAAGAACTTAAAAAAAAATACCAGGAAGTTGAATCCAGTGACAATGCAAATGATGATAATCAGTCAGAGGTTACCCCAAGGAAAGAACATCAAGGTGAATTAGGCAGCGTGAGTCAACCAGAGAGTAAGATTGTTCAGAAAAACTATCTAACGTTTCAAGAAGTAATGAAAGGAAGTGATGTGGTTAAAAATTTGTTCACAACTGATAATAAAGAAAAATCTATCGCTGCTAACCGAGTTTTACAGAGAACTGGAAAGGTATAGCTATATAGTAAAGCATCGTTTCATTTATTTAGAGTAAATTCAAAATGAATTTGTATCTCTTATCGAGAATCATCTTAAAGTTTAATTAATGTGATTCCTGTATCACTAACAATTAAAAGGGAAATTTAATTATTTGAATGTTCACCATATACATGATAAATGCATTAATGTCTGAATTTACAGCTTTAACTTTTAAATAACAATTACTTTCGAGGGTTATTATATAAATAACACATTATATAAGCAGAGAGGGTGATAGAGCAGATTGTTACCCCGAGAAAACATTGTCAACTGAGGCGAAGCCAAGGTTGACAACGTCTTTTCGAGGGGTAACAATCTGCTCTATCACCCTCTCGGATATGTGTTATTTAATTTATCACACTGAATGTTCTGTTATTACTGTCTATTAAATTGCTAATTCAAAGTATTAAACTATGTCGTCTAGTACATGTACATAACAATCATCCGTATTTATTAAAGCGCACACTTGAGCAAGCATCTCCGTGACGGGTAATAGAGTATTTGCCAAGGGATAGAGTAAATTGTCTCCCTCGTATAGGTTTCATAACGATTGAGATTTGGATATCGCTTGATATCAACTCGAGTTATTAAATTTCATTATAATAATAAACGAACCTTCGGCAAGTTTATTATTACTATTTAAATTAAACAGCGAGCGATATCTAATTCTCACAAGTTGTTAAACTAATTTCTCTTATGGTCAACACTCTCGTTGTGTTAAATTAAAAATTCCACGAATAGTTGATCTAGTCTTTTGCACATACAAGTATGATGTCATATGTCCTGTTCCGGTGTCAAACTTTAATATCGGATATTTTAAAACTTTTCGTACACTTCAGAATATGATAAAGTTTGACATAAAAAAAGATTTTCAACTGAAAAGTGTGAGTGTTTTGTATATTACTGAAGAAATCAAATATGTCTGTTGCCATGGACGAAATGGACATCGTCTTTTCAACCTTTGAAAGTCATCAATGATCTAACGAATAGCCAATGGAAATGTCGTAATATCGTCTCATGATGCTGATTAGCCTATCAAATTAACACAGATTTCCGTATCACTTTTTCGTATCACACTCCATGCAGTGTGATACGAGAAATATCTCTTCATGCAAGAAATAGATAACAGGCCGCAACCAAAAGAGAAATTAGAATATTCACTTTTAGCGTTTGAATATTAATTCGTTTTATATCATTTGGATAAATAAAATACATTATTGATTATAATGATACAGGTGCTCATTATGAGTATGGGAGGAGTTTTGATTTCAGGAGAGATCTATCCCAGATTTAAAATACGTATTTGGTGATTATAGAATGTGAGGACACTGATTGTTTGTCTTAAGAAAGATATGAAGTTGCGATTCTGAAAATCTGCTCTTGATTCTGAGTGAGAAAATATTATACAAATCCAAAATTTTTTAATATATAACAAAACAAATTTTACTACAGTTTTGAATCATGTTTTAAATCACATATGAATAAAAGGAGATGTGGAGTATACACAAATGAGACAACAACTTTTGGAAACAAAAATTACAGATTAGATTTAAAAATGGTCGTAGAGCAATGTATTCATATACATATGTATATTAAAAAACAAAAACACTAAATAATAGCAAAATTTAAATTCTTTAGAATTTAATGTTTCATAATCTTTATATGTAATAATAAAATTTCATAATTATTATAATGCAGGTTGTGGCTATGATTAAGCCTAAGCATTCTAGAGTATGTAGAGGAAGTTTACATTTAATGAATAAAACAAATCAACATACAGCACTGTTTAGACCACGTGATTCCAGGTTACCTAGAATAATGATTCCGAAGGAGAATTTTCCAAAAGGTAAGAAAAGTTAATTTACAGAATGGGAATTCAAAGGTTAACTATTAGACCACATGTTGCCAGGAATAAGACCCCTTATTGATTGTCCATTAAATAAAAAACTATGTACATTATTACTTTTGACAGACAAATCTTTGTTGCACAGATTGCCTAGCATTATGATCCCTATGGATATTTGTCCAACTGTAAGAAAAAGTCCATGTGCAGATTTCCTGACAGTCCACTTGTCCACAAGTCACTTAATGTTATGACAATGTTTGTCTGGATAATTGTTCTAATGATATGACACGTCCAGACAAACAACATATTACAGGTGGTCTGAAAATAGTTTATCATAAGTGTCAGAATGTTTACGTATATACTTTTTTCTCAGGAAAACCACTATTTCAAACACATTTGTTAATGGCTATTCCAGTAAAATTTACCTAGGAGGGGTGGAACGCCGACGATATTTTTTTTCCATAGGTGGGGGGTTATCAACATAATTGTATTCTGGAGGGTGGTGGTCCCGATTTAAATTCATTTCTGTTGGTGGGGGGTTTCTGAATGATAGATTAAACATATTTACCCCCTGTTATGAAGGAAGATTCTTCTTAAAAGGTCGTCCAAATGCAAATAAAGTTGACAGACCACTAATTTTAAGCGTCCGTTTGTGTTCTTGTCAAACGCGACGAGCCGGAAGCAGGAAGAGTTATCTCTGGGAAGTCTGAGTTATCTCCCCAATCCTGACATATGTGCTCGATGCCCCTGCTATTCTATGGAGAAAGTGGGTTTTTTTTGGAGAACAATGGTCTGAATTGGTACACAAGAAAGTATATTATCTTGCCCAACCGTTGCCTGTTGAAAAAAAAAATTGTTAACGAAATATAAAGTTACACCGAGCCTACCAACATTACCATTATTTTATGGACTGAACTAAATTCCTAGGCCCAATCTCCACCCAGCACTTGAAACATGAAATGGTTGGTGCCAATCGGTTGCCCCACCTGAAGAGTTTTCTGTACTCGAATCTCTTTCCTTGCAAAGAATATGTCCTTATTAAGTGGACTAGCCAATTCTTTGCAATTTTTGTCCAAAATAATATTTTATTGCACGCAATTTATAACAACTTCAAGTACCCTCTTTCCCCACAAAAATATGCGTGGGTGACATCCAAACTATGCGGTCCCTAAAAAAATATTTATGTTTGGCACAGACAATTAGATTTTTATTGCTCATGTTGCGTGGGCGGCATTGTAAATTTTGAAGGAAAAAAATGGCCTAATTTTTGCGGAAAATATGACCTTGTTACACAGGAGAGTATATCATCTTGCCCAACAGTTGCCTATTGAAAAAATATGTATAGAAGAAATACATCAAATAAAAAAATAAAAAATTACACTGTGCCTACCAAAAATATTTTATGGCTCGAACTAAACTCCCAGGCCCAAACTCTGAAACATCAAATGGTTGGTGCCAACCAGTTTCCCCACCTGAAGAATATGTCGTACCTGAAAATTTTATTGACAGTTTTAAAAATAAAATGACCCATAATTAAAATGGCACTTGGCATTTATCATCTGTTGTTGTATTTCAATCTTTAAAACTACTGGACCTGATATATATTTAACCAAAATATGCGGGAATAGAAAATGGAAGTTTCAAAAGTATACACTTCTTTTTATACGACTGCAAAAGTTTTGCATTTGTATATAATGTGTAGCGATGTCAGCGGCGTCCAAAGGGCTTGGTTTGCTACTTGACTGTGAGTGATTCAGGCTCTCTAGGGTTTCTGGGAACCTCTTGGTTCAAATAATGACATAGCTAGTGCAACAAGGAATGAAATCTTGATCTATATAATTATGTGGTATACAACAACTCTTTAGCGTGATTGATTAGACATCACTTCACAAGATCTTAGGCCGTCATCACAAGTTGATTGATCGCTATGGGTTGTCTGTATCACACGTGACAACAGACCTTCTACAGTTGTCATTCCCTCTGTTCCCGAAAGTGACCTTCATGAGAAACACAGGGGAGTGTCTTGCAAGAAGCAGGACCTGCTTACCCTTCCGGAGCACCTGAGGTCGCCCCAGTTTTTTCGGGTCGGTGTTTCTTGTTTTTTTTTATTTTTCAATGTTGAGTGTTGTTGTTGGTCCTTGTATGTCTTATTTGTTTTCTGGTTTGTCTTTAGTCCGTTGATTGCCCTTCTTTTTGGATAGCGCTTCAGTTGTCGACTCTCCTTTTTAGTATTTAAACGGATTAAAACTAGTAAATGAGTCTATAAGCCAGGCATGTCCCTCCCATAATTAATATATAACAGTTAGAAAATTAACCAGTTGATCAAGCATAATATATAGGTGAGAGTGACATACAGTTTATTGGGCCATGGTGCTTACCCAGCTCAATTTTCTTTACTATAACATGTCTATGTTCCGAGATATAAACCAAGAACTTAATCAGCGTAAAATGAAGGTCAAAGTGACCTGAATTTTATTGGGCCATGGAACACTTCCCAAGAGGCTTTCATAGGTGAAGTATCATTACTATACCATGTCTACTCTCCGAGATGTGAACATAATCCAAGAACTTAACCAGAGTCACTAAACTGTAAAATGTAGGTCAAAGTGACTTGAAAGTTACTGGGCCATGGAAAACTACCCAAGACGCTTTCATGGTTGAAGTATCATTACTATACCTTGTGATCATAACCCATGAACTTAACCAGAGTCAATGAAGCGTAAAATGAAGGTCAAAGTGACCTGAACGTTATTGAACCTTGTAACACTACCCAAGATGCTTCAACGGGTGAAGTATCATTACTATAACATGTGCACCTTACGAGATATGGATTATTTACACAATTTTAAATATAAAAAAAAATATGCACATGAACATATAGATGCAATACTACACATGAACTGTAAGATGGAGAAAACTGTAATGTGGAATAAATGTCCCGGAGACAACATTCCAAACAAAACAGCATATACAAAATATCTAGAAAAAGACTAGTAGTCGCCAACAATAGACCAAACCCATGATGCTTGGCAGAACAGACAAACCCTAATTTGAGAAATGCACACACCAGCCTGAGAAATTCTGATCACAAGACTTCATTTAGGAAAAAAATATTGTGAAAATTTTAATAAAACCATTTTAAACAAAAATTACAAAGTTTAAAAAAAATGCTTCTGGATAGGAGTGGTCCAATTTTTATATATCTCTTTCCATGCATGGTTCATCTGAAATACAAGGGTGCAGGAATTCTTTAGTCCTACTAAACTATTATTCATGTACTGTTGTTTCAAAAGTTCTTTTAATGCAATCTCAAATGAAAAGACTCCAATATTCTGCACTGAAATAGATAAACCAACAAATTTTACATTTATTTTACGGGATGCAACATTTTTGTTAAAAACTAGCTGACTTTTAATTTTTTGTCTCTCGGTAGGAGGTCTTGGAAGAAAATACATGTTCTAGGTGGGGGTATATTTTTAAAATCTTTTCCATAGGTGGGGAGGGGTAAAAAAATAAGTGGTGAACCACCCCCCTGGATAATTTTTACTGTAATAGCCCTAACAGTTTGGAAATTCTTCTGTGACAAAATAGAATCTATGACAAACGTGATGATTTTTACCTTCCAATTGTAAATTTTCCATTTCTCAGCAGTATAATATACCCTGTAATATCGTCCTATGACATTTACATATCTCATTTAGTACATCATGTTTGTGCATGTTCGCACTATACGGACTATTTTAACAGGGGTATATTTCTTTCACTAAAACTGCCCCAACAGAGTTACAAGGAAGAATGACAAAAATCGACAATACCTCAGTTTTACGGTCCTATCATGAGCTGGTTCACCGATATACGATGTATACAGTCACTTTAATTTACCAGTCAATTGGAAATATTTGACTTCATAGTTTGAAGTTGAAGGTCCCAAATCAAGATTTACTTTTAGTTGTCAAGGTTAAACCTTGTGCTTAAACAAATTCCTATTAATAATTTGTGTTTTTTTTGTATTTTCAGTAAATATTTGTGACACTCTATTTTAAGCTGTGCTTTGGCAAATGTCGTTTTAAATACAACAAAAGAATTGGTAGCCTTATTTTCCAGTTGTTTACAATCACATTCAAAGTAATTCATTTTGAAACCACTGTTAATGAAAAACAGTTTTGTTTTGGTACACTCACTGTATTCATAATGTTAGATTTCATATGAATAAATCTATATTAAACAGACTTCCTGAAGCGGCCAGAAGATCATGCAAACACCATGTTCATAAGTAGAATTAATGAATGGAGAGACAACTCTATTTACGCACATGGGTAAGATATGGCTAAATAAATCATTAAGCATAAATAGTATCATAATTAATAAGTGTAGTCTTCAAGTTTTGACACATTAGTTTTGACGTAAAAAACGCCGGTAAACGACTGTTGCCTTGATAAATTTAGCACTCTCACTGTTTTGTATTATCGGTTTTTCTTCTGCTTTTTATTTTCTTAAACGTGTTCATACCCAAAAGATGTCCGACTTGCCGAAACATATTCATTTCGCTCAAACATATCCTTTAAATCAAATATCGCTTAAACATGTCCAATGTTATTCCCTGTAAACATTTTTGATTATTTTTGTAGCTCAAACGTGTTTGATATCGATTTCCTACCTCCTGTTTTCGAGTCCAAATTATGTCAATAAGGTACCAACATGCGTCGCAATGCGTCGAAATCTTAGCGTTAAGTTTACCTCTTTGACGCTAGTAACGTCGTCTTTCCTTTGTTAGTAAGTTTTGTATAATTTATATTCTTTAGAACACAATCTCGTCCTCTTTACATCGAATGTGACCAACCAAATTAGACTTCATTTCGGATTTGTACTTACACGAGCAACACGACGGGTGACACATAGGGGGCAGGATCTGCTTATGCTTCCGATATCATCCCGATGTTTTCGTGTTGCTCAGTCTTCAGTTTTTTATGTTGTGTTTTATGTGCTGTTGTTTGTCTTTCGTTCGTTTTTCGTTCTTTGCCATGTCTTTGCCAGTTCGTTTTCATCTAATCAGTTTGATGTCCCTTTGGTATCTTTGCCTCCCGTTTGAACTTTTACTTCCTATCATTTTGTTTTGATTTCGGGGAATTTCAGGGAAACCAGCTTGCTTATAGACTGTGTACTTTAATAGTCTCACCTTCAACAAATTTGATTTCTTTAAAGTCTAATACATTATACATGAATTTCAAAGTACTTTTTAATTATGATAGCAGCAGCTCCAAATAAATGTCACATAAATAGCTGTTTTGAAAGTTTTGCTGTTAGGGGTATGGGAAGGGACACACTACAGCATTCTATGCCAGCTGAAAAATAATCATTTACATACTATTGTTTTTTTTAATCTTTTTTTGATAATTGCATGCATATGTTTGTCACGTTTTAGCAAACTTTTCATTCATACTTTTAGTAACGTTAAATGTTAACCATTTAGCAAGGTATAGCTATGGATTTTAGTCTTGCCTTTTCTATTCGTAAAAATATTGGGTTTATTTTTGACTGTGCACATTTAAATAAAATAAAACAAAAATATTTACAGTGCAATATAAAGTATTCAGCAGTAGAAAAATCTACATATTTTTAAAAATCTCCCCAAGTCTAGAAAAGTAATGAATAAATTTACTAATAGCAGAGAATACCAATGATAATAGTCTTTTATTCCAAAGCAATACAGCTTATAGCATTTACATATACAAATATAATAGCATCGGTGATTTATTACATATGTGTTTTACAATTACAAACAAATTTGTTTCATTGAATCATCGGCGGAAAATGACAACTAATTATATAAATAATGAAATATGAGCAATATATTATAAATAACGAATCTTATCAGTTAAATAAAGGATTTGTTAAGCTCTTTGATGTTATGAACATACCATTATTGGATACATTTATAACAAGATGGGTTTTTCCAATAAATTGGTTTTATATATTTTTTTCTATTATCAACACTTTCTAAAATATAATGGTATTCATCTTCAATCAGATGTTTATCACACATATGACAAAATCTGTTTTCTCTTTTAATATTATAAAATCTACCGGTTTAAATGTTCAGTCACCGGTAGACCAAAGACATAAGATCAACACCAGGTTCTGTATAAAAAGACAAAGTTAAGATACAAACGAAGACATCCACTGAAAAGGGTTTTGACTTTGGATAGGAAAAATCAACTGTGGCATGGTCAAAGTAGTGCCTTTGTTACACAAAGCTTTTTTAAATTTGATCAACGGAATAAAAAATGTATACTGAAGAACGTATTGACTCATTGACACACATGTATCTTATCTCCTTTCTTCCTAAGATACATTCACTATTTTGGTAATTATTTTGGTAATTTTTATGTTTACAGAGAATTGATGGGGAAATTAGGGGAAACAGGAGAAGTATATACAGAAACAGAAGGAATACTGATAGAAAATGATGTGGATGATTCAGAATTTACAGAAGAGGTGTGTAAGAATATAGCACCGAACACAGGGTCTTGCTTCAAGAACAGATTCAAATATATTTAAAAATGTATCAATAATCATTCAATATGCAAATATATGATGATGATTAATTGTAATATAATTGGACTATACATTGAAGTATATAGTGCATAATGACTCTTAAATTGAATCATGGTCAAAAACGAAATCTCTCTGCTTGGAAATCATTTTTGTTCTTCTGTGACATAGAACATATTCTTGGACGAATATTAACTTGATAAAGTTTTATTTATTTCAAAATGTTGCAAAATAATTTATTATTGGATTACAGGCTATTTTTGGAGTTTTCAATGTGTAATGAAAAAAATATTAAAGTCACTTCATTTAATTCAAAATTAAAAAAAAAATGTGATTTAGAAAAATACTTTAAAGAAAGAAAAAAAAAAACTTGTTTCTTACTGTCGTTGCCAAATATCATCTTAATTTGGGAATTTTACAATAGGTAAAAATAAACTATATGCTTTGTGGAATGATAATTTAGTAAAACACACACAAAATATTATTGTTCGTTAACAAGCGAGAAACAGACGTGAAGAAGTTGTTCATCGTAGTTACGATGGAAAACAAAATAAATCTGTCAAATGTATGTATCACGAAGTTAAATTGAGGGACTTTCTGTTTTGAATTTTCCTTGGAGTTTGGTATTTTTGTTATTTAACTTTTTGATAACTGGTATATATACTTCCTTTAGTTTATCACATTATACTATTTTCATATATATGCTAATAAGATAAATAAATAAAACCAGAATAAACTTCATGTAACTTCATATAACTCATACTTGTTATAAAATTGTGAACAAGTGTATGTAGTCTTTTTCGAATTAATATTTTGGTAAAAACGGACATAATCAAAGCGGTACAAAGGCCTGGGAAAACACTGTTCATTTTGCAACAGCATGTTTATATTCTTTATCTCCCAGATGTTGAGTACCTTGCCAGTTCAGAAATTACCATGGCAGATCCCTGATGGTGAGATCACTAAGCGACGAGATTACCGTCAGCAATGTGTGTTTACTATAGACCCTGCCACAGCTAGAGATCTAGATGATGCTCTGTCTTGTGAGAAACTGGATGATGGTAAATATATGTAAAATAAATGGTTCACCATAGATAGACAGTATGATTTATGATCTAACTAAACAGTAGTTATGATTTCAGGCATTTGATGTTATGTAGTCGATATGTCAAAATAGTTGTCACAATTATGATCATAAAAATAAGGAGATGGGGTATGATTGACAATGAGACAACTATCCACCGAAGTTCAAATGAAGTCGATGTTAGCAATTATAGGCAATCGTACGGCCTTCGACACTGACAAAAACCCATACCGTATAGTCGGATATTAAAGGCCCCACATAAAAAATATGAAACAATTTGATTGAGAAAACTAAAGGCCTAATTTATAACAAAACAATTTACGAAACACAAATATGACAGGCATGAACCAACCACAACCACTGAAGTACAGGCCCCTGACCTTTGGGACAGGCACATATAAAATTGTTTGCTTATAGACTTGAGATATGCACATGTACAACAAAATCAATAAATTATTGTTTGAATACTTACACTATGTTTAACTTCTCTCAAAATGTCACAAATCATAATGAAAATAAGTTCTATAACATGAAATTAATAAAATGTAGGCACCCAGTTTAATTGAATTGTCGTATATTTGTTTCAGGGACTTACAATGTAGGGGTTCATATAGCAGATGTTGGTTATTTTCTGAGAGAAGATTCAGTACTAGATATGACTGCTAGATCCAGGGCAACAAGTGTTTATCTAATTCAGAAGGTTAACAAAGAAATATTTCTTTTTTAAGGATATCTGTCTTTCAGGACCAGAGTGAGCTTTTTCAGTAATTTGGCGTTTGTCGTCGTCCATTAGCTGTTAGACAAATATTCTATTCTCAAACTACTGGTCAATTAGACGAACGACATTTTAGTCAATCGATATGACAATTTAGCCTTCCGCAATTGTTACATGACTGAATTAGAATTATCATCTTGCAATGAGAATATGACGGGTACCACTAGAGGAAACAGAAATGTTCAACTTTCCAAAGCATCTGAATTCAGCCCCAGTATTTTTGGGGTCGTATTGTTCGATCTTTAGTTTTCAGTGTATTGTTTTTGGACTGTTGGTTGTATTTTCGTCGTGTTTTCTTTGACAATAACGATGTCTGCTTTTTTTACTGATGGGTTTTGACTGCCCACTTAATATCTTCTCTCTCTTTCTACAATGTGTATTGTCAAGTCAGCAAAATATTAAAATGTCTAATTCCTTATGAAACGCTAAACGTCTAAACCCTTTGCACAATAAAATCAATAATCTCATTTGTCCGGATTTGGCTTACCTTTGGGCCCTTCTAGTTTTATCAGCTTTTCAACTGTATCAGGTTTTGGAGTTTCAAATATTTTAACCTCAAGCATGACTGAAGAGACATTTATTGTCTGAATACGCATGTGCAATCAAATTGGTACCGTTAATATCAAAATACAGTATGATTGCACATGATACAATGATCTACCAGAGAACAACGAACGTGGCTGTAAACTATTACAGGGTATTGTACGATCTTCCCTAATGAGCAAAAACCGTAGCGTAAAGTAACCTATAAAAGGATCCCGGCATGACAGGAGCTACAGAACTTTTTGGTCTTAAATGATGGTTTTCGAAAAAAAATAACGTCTTCGCTTTTAATAAGGAAAACAGTAATAGATAAACATAATCTGTTAAAAAGAAAATAAGCAGCAAGTTAAAATCTACCAAAATCCTTAGTTTATTAAAATAATCAAATCTTTGAGAGGACCTGAGTTTTTTTACCGGTTTTTGATAAAATTCGTGTTATTCAATCTTTACTTTTCTGTGTAGTGTTGTCTGTCTTTTTCATATATTTTCTATGCGGTTGTTTGTTTTTGTGCGATTGACAATTTTTTATTTTCCCTCTTGGTTTCTTGGTATCTTTGGCCTTTTGTTTTGGAAATTTAAAACAGCAAACGTGTCCATCAAGGCAAGAATCACATCGATAAAAAAAAAAAAAAATGAGAGAAAATTAGAAAAGCAGACAAGATCATATATGCAAGATCTAGGGAGCATTCACATGAACAATGACTTTTTATTGGCGTGACTGCTCTTTTATGATAATTTTTACTTACTTATGATGGTTTTTTTAACATGTATTCCAAAACAGTAATTGAAAGAGATGAACTATTCTCAATGGAAACATTTAAATCATCTCTTTTGTCCTGAGGTTTAGTTTTTACCCGATCATCATTGTCAATTTCTAGATATTAGTAAAGATATGAGACAGATTTAACTGTTTCTCTGATAGCATTTGTTTAAGTTCATTGGGAAGTTCATGCAGTCAACATAGTCACCAAACTTTGAATAGTCTAGTGAAAGGACATCTTACATTTATGGGAAAGTGAAGTAAAAGGAGAATGTAAGCGACTTTAGTTTTCTTGAAAAGCCCTTGTAATAAATCTGCCTCGTAAGAAATTTGTATACATTGAAATAGATTTACATTAGTTTAAGTAAAATCATTATCTTTACCTTATAGTTACTGTTTTTAAATACCCCCACCGTATATGCTAGAACTGAATGCATTTTCGAATCAGCTATTTTGTAACAAATGCTTTCACATACTTTACGAAATACATTTGTTTAAATTTCAATTTATTATTGAAATAATAAAACATGCAAGTACTGTTTTTTATAGATTTATACAGCTTTCTTAACAATTACTTTATTGTTGTATGATTCCAGGTTATACCTATGTTACCCAAAATTCTGAGTGAAGAGTTGTGCAGTTTAAATCCCAACCAAGATAGACTTACGTTTTCTGTCGTATGGAATATATCAGAGAAAGGGGAGGTAATTAAGTTGAATAATCTTTCATGATTGTTTTAAATAAGAAATACATAATTTAAACAAATTTATTATTTAGAACTATAATTGTGTCAGTAAGACAGTAATTGATCAACACTTGTTATATGACAATTGCCAGTAATTGCATGGTTAAATTATTAACACAATGTAATTGTCAGTAAACACTAGGGATGTCAACTCGGTGAACAATTGCTAATCAAGTACTCGTTGGTTTTATTGACCGATACTGGAGTACTCACTCGGGAATATATCTACCAAATGGAAACACAAAAATACGGTTTTTACATTCTGTGGTTTGTTGTTCAACGGACGAAAAAACATCTACATAAGTATCTTGGACAAGGAATTACACACCATTATTAATAGCTCATTACTTACAAGTACTAATTAAGTAAACAACAATAATCTAATCAATATAATTTAATGAAAAGCTATTTAAAAATTATAACAAGGAAAAACCATATCAAACAATAGTATTTGGTTGTCGTCAAGAAAACACATTTAATGTTTACAAAGGTGTAAGGATTAGAAGTTTAAATTTTCACTGAGGGTAACCAGAGGATACAACGAATATATATTTTATTTGAAAACATTTTTTTGTCAACTATTATTAGGGACAGTCGGTTTTGCAACTTTGTAAATTACAGTTTTGCAGACGAAAGTATTTGCTCTGACGGTACCAATGTGACAGAATCGCTATGTAATATTTAGTTTAAAGTGTTAGCCTCGGTGTAGCCCACGCATTTTCGAAAGCATTTTAAATGACAATTTAGCACAAGCATTCGAAACAAAATGTATTTTATTTACTTATAACTAGTATGATTAATCAATGATGCCTATTTAATTTTCCGAAAGAGGTTCTCAAGAAGATAATTTTTATATGAAGAAGACAGCAATATTCTAACAGGAAACTGATTAGTCGAGTATCCTTTTGGTATTCGGTACTACCAAGCGATACCCGAATACTCGAGTACTCGTTGACATCCCTAGTAAACACCATGTATCAATTAATCTAGTCCAATATAAAACGCCATACAAGCTAAAGATTGAAAACAAAATTACTTTCTTGATGTAAGATTTTTTAAAAGAAGTGTATTTTAACAGAAAATTATTATTTTGTGTTGTTTCACAAGATAAAAATTCTCAAAGGTTTTGAGTACATCCCTGTCAACCCTATGTGTACATATCACTAGGTCAAGTCAAGCACATATCAATCAACTGTAGCCTAAATTTATGATAACAGTATTAAACTGTAGCAAAAATATGTTAACAGTATTAAATTGTATGGGGTGCTTCTTGACTTATAAAGCCAAACAAAATTAAGTTAAAAAAATATCAACAAAAAAAACAAGAACAAGAACAACAGATAACTTATGGTAACTTGTTCTTTTAAGAGTCAATTGAAATTGAATATTTAGATCATAAAATGTATATATAGTGCACGTTGTCCATATTATACCTTTTGGCAAAACTTATAATTCAAAGAATGTTATTATTTACAGTCGTAACTACCCAATGCATGTCTTTTCTAGATAAATAGTGAATGGTTTGGAAGAACTGTGATTAGATCATGTGTAAAACTTAGCTATGATCATGCTCAGGTAGTATAAAAATATGTGTATGCTTTAGCATGAGGCACTTATAGATCATGCAAGACCAAAATCCCTCATTATTCAGATACACGTTAGAATTAAGAGCCCATAAAAAGGTGTAAACATCTAGAATGTCTTATTTTCCAAAAAATTCTTTTGGAATTTATTTTCTTGTAGCTTCTAAATTTTGAATTTCAATATGATTTTTTTAATTACATGTAAATGGATCTTCTTGCAAAACTCTTCAATACATTAGTCATCACTTTTGGTTCTAATAAGCAGATTGTTCAAAGATGGAGTTGATGGGGTTGGTGTTGTCCAATCTTAACTTTTCTGTGCAGTGTTTTATGGACTATTGTTTGTCTTTTCGCTCTTGTGTTGTCTGTTTTTATTCGACTTGTTGTATGTTGTATTTGATAGACCCCTTTGATCTTTTCCCCTCTTTTTTATACTTGTTAAGCGATTCGCAATATATTCCAATGAACAATTAGATAATGAAATGAACAGTAGTTCATTTTCTAAGCTGTCAAATAATGTCCTAAATTGTGTTAATTATAGTTACGTAAATTCACGACAATAGACCATTTTCATATTACTGACTTTTGACTCCGGATTATATAATTTTTCGACAGGTTACCTACTCTATGGTAGGACATAGTTTATTGACAAAATATCAATGCCCTACACAAACTAGGAACACGACAAAGTTAACTAAATGAAGGAAACAGATACGGATGTAATTACAAATAATTTCGTATCTCGGGGTTCAAAGCTGAAAGAAAATTTGAAAATAAAATTTATACATTTTATTGACAATTAAATTTAAAACATTAAAATCGCTCTATTTAATAGATTTTTTATTTATTGCAAATATCATATGAAATAAATTTTAATCATCATCTCTCTTTCAGTATATGCTTATCTATTGACTCTCAAGAATATGAATTTTAATCCATATGCCTCTGGCAGTACATGTAAATTTATTGAAGATTAAGGATTACAAGGACTGTTGATATTCTAATCATCAATAACGGCGTCTAATCAGCAATGTCGACAGCCTGGCATGTTTATGACATGAGTGAATAGGAATTCATACGATATTGTGTTTTCTTAACAATTGTAGAAAATTGACAATTAAACTAAAATTATATAGTGTTGTTGTCAAATTATACCCGGTATTTATTTTCAGATTTGGCTATGTATAGAATTGTAGGAAATATACGGAAGATATAATAGCATAAAATACTTTCCCCAACAATTAACATGACGATATTGTCATAGCGGTACGCGATTTTGGCGTTTCAATTTTTTAGTGTTTGCTTTATTTTCGTGTGTTTAATTTTGGCACATTCATTGGAGGCGCCAAATAAACAAAAATAAAACTATAACCAAAATAACCCAATTTACAGTGCATTATACATAATCAATGAACATATGTTTAAATCACTACATCTGTTTCTATCAGTTAATCTGTATTATATAATTCATGTCAAAATGCCAGATTTTGATTGGCTAATACAAGGGTGTTAATTTACTCTAATACCCTTCATGGAGACGCTTGATCAATTGTGCGCTTTATTAAATACGACTCTGTCCTATGGCAAATACTCTATTACCCTTCACGGAGACGCTTGATCAAGTGTGCGCTTTATTAAATACGACTCTATCCTATGGCAAATACTCTATTACCCTTCACGGAGACGCTTGCTCAAGTGTGCGCTTTATTAAATAAGGATGGTTGTTATGTACAAGACGTCATAGTTTATTACTTTGAATTTTAAATTTAATCGACAGTAATAACAGAACATTCAGTATAATAAATTAAATAACACATATCTGAGAGGGTGATAGAGCAGATTGTTACCCCTCGAAAAGACATTGTCAGCCTTGGCTTCGCCTCAGTTGACAATGTTTTCTCGGGGTAACAATCTGCTCTATCACCCTCTCAGCTATGTGTTATTTATATAATGTCACCAGTTGACAATCATTGTATGAATCTTCAGTTGATTGTGTTGATGATTCATTTATATATACTTTTATCAAATTATAAAATAAACAACCATTCAAACTGTATGATATGAAAAAACGCTCATACTGTGACTGTAGATATCGCTTATATATTTTAATTTCCCATTCTTCTCGTTTTTGTTGGATAGCTCTCATCGGCAAAAGAGAGGCGATATATACTGAAGGGACATTCAAACGCATAAGTCGAAAATAAACTGACAACGCGTAGAAAAAAAACAACAACTTATAATTTGACATAGCTTTGTACTGTTATTGTGTTGCTCTTTTAATTGTGTGTAGCACATTTTCATTTAAATGCACTAAATACCCTTTTTTTATACTTCCAAATCAGTATGCACAGCCGTACGGCAAATCCCTGATTTGTCCTTTAAAACCCCGGATTTATTATCCGAGAATCAAGTGGAGATAAATTCTGAGAAAGCCGCCAACAGATGTCGCTGGGCAGAAAAATAATTCCCCGCGGAAGACGAACGGGTAGGAAATTGTGAATTTTTGAAATTTAATGAAACTAAACGTATCATGAGCGGTATTCATGAAATGATAAGTTTTTTAAAGTATTTGAAAAACATAAGAAGTCAAAGTTATGTATCGTTGAAAAAGAAATTCAAGTCATTACTTTTCAGTCTTCGGATCCGCCATTTTTCAACTTCGACTGTCATTGAAAAATTTTTCGCTTGACACAGGCCTGGTTTACCTAGAAAAAATAAATTTGACTGGTTTATTTTGATAAACTGGAACATCGAGAACAGAACTGGGATGGTCACATGACGTTACTATTCGTTGTTTACACACAAGCACAAGTTCAATACACAACACAATTTGGTAAGGTCACGCAATTACTCCCTATTATATTTTCTTTAAAAGTCTCTGCTCTTTACAGAAACAGCTCAGAAATAAGGCAAACTTGTCACAGAGGGAAAGACGGTCAACATGTCATTGAAATGAAAAAAATCTGTTATTTTGTTGTGATTTATTTTTCCTTTTCATGCTTCAATGATGTTTTTCAGTACACATGTACACAAAATTATAAAAATGTGTACATTAATTAGCCTAGTCTGCTTTCTCAAAAATCACACAGATATTCTGAATTCAGCACATTATCCATATAAGAATATGTATATGAAGCTCCCAATCATATCCTTAAATAAGTGCATTCTTTTTGGGAAGTCCAGTTGTAAACTATTGTGATCTGTTAGCATGTCAGGATTTGTCCTGAGTGACGTGACTCCAGTGTAAATATCCCAAGATCTGATATCACAAATAAAAGACAGAGGAAAACGATTGAACAGAGTCGGATCTTTATTTTGTAGCTTACAGATGTAATTGCAAAAAATGAAGATGATATCATATCATAATATAATTGTTTGTGCTCATTCCCTGTCCATATTCTCCAAGCAATTCTTCATAAGTGGTTCAATCTACATCCAGTTTACCTAAATAAATCCCTGTTTATGTTGATTTAGTCCATTCTATGAATTATATTTATCAGGTCAACATTTTTTTAATTTATACTATATTTTAAGACAGACAGCTAGATACCATAAACATACTATGTATACACAGGCTGAGCTTGATTTGCTATATGATATAAAAACTAAACTGACGAAAAAAGGTCATTCATTCAAAATCATAAAATGCAAAAAATACATTTTGCAAATAAAACATTTGACATATCATATCAATTGAATAAATGGCAAAGAATAGCAAAGGTGGGGAGAAAAATCTGCCCCACAAATAAACATATATACATATCTACTTCAAAAGATAACATTAAGGGAGGTATGTGGGTGGGAATTTTTAACAAATTGTTTGATAAGAATCACAAGTTAACACATCAAATGCTGATGATAAGAGGAAGTGACCACAACGCACTTACACGTGAACTCATGCTGATCCCGCAAGATCATTGACCAATGAGACAGATGTAATCCAATCATGCACTGGTCATAAGTGAAATTTCTCTGCACGTGAAAACATGTTATCTAATTTCAACAATTTATCGTTTGATTAAGTAGGACACTCTGACCCTTTGACCAGACTAGAGACATCATAAATTTACAGTATAAATAGCTCACTCTTTATTTAAGTCTTAGTAATAAACAATTAAAACAGAATTATCTTCTCTGCTGTCTTAAATTATTTTATTCAGCTTAATTTTCAATTAGCAAATAAAATTAGTTTTAAGACAGACAGCTAGATACCATAAACATACTATGTATACACAGGCCAGAGTCTAAGCTTGATTTGCTATATGATATAAAAACTAAACTGACGAAAAAAGGTCATCTATTCAAAATCATAAAATGCAAAAAATACATTTTGCAAATAAAACATTTGACATAAAAGTTCATATTTAATATGAAATAATAATACATAATTAATACGAAATTACATCAACTAATATCATATCAATTGAATAAATGACAAAGAATAGCAAAGGTGGGGAGAATAATCTGCCACAAATCCGCTCTTAAGCTGAAAGAGTGGATCCCAAATCCACTCTTAGGTTGAAAGAGTGGATCCCCCACCCAAGGACTCTGGCGACGTGAATACAATTTATATATAACTTGAAAAATTTACAAGCATGACATTCACATACATGTACACCAAAAATAACACTTTATTTTTGTAAAACGTTTCCACATTGAGCAGAAATATTAAAAATTCATATGATCATATACCAAGATATTACTTTTAAATTATCTCTTACTGATAACAATGATTAGAGGTGTAAATTTTATTCCGGTCAGGACCACAGCAATAAAATTACAATATAATCGTCGTTAAGTAAAATTGAGAATGGAAATGGGGAATGTGTCAAAGAGACAACAACCCGACCATAGAACAGACAACAGCAGAAGGTCACCAACAGGTCTTCAATGCAGCGAGAAATTCCCGCACCCGGAGGCGTCCTTCAGCTGGCCCCTAAACAAATATATATACTAGTTCAGTGATAATGAACGCCATACTAAACTCCAAATTGTACACAAGAAACTAAAATTAAAAATAATACAAGACTAGCAAAGGTATATGTTTCAGAATTCATATTTCGTCTTACATCTAGACATTTAATAATAGTATCCCCTAAATATTTTAGTACGGACAATTAGTACATTAATTAACCGAAACTTTATCTTTAATCTTAAATCTTCAAACAAAATAGAAGTACATTTTTACGAAGCCCTGGATCCTTTCTAAATACGAAGTTTTATATCTGACTATTTCTATATGGGATCATGAGCAACTGATTCTCATACTACACTTGACATTTTGAATCAAAATTGTATAAAGATCATAGATTTATTAAATTTCTTAAGGAAAAAGTTTTTAAATTGAAATTAGTAAATAAGTATCTAATGTAGACCTTTTTAACTCTCAGTTATTTTTGTTATTATTGATATGAGACTTTAGAAATATTTTGCGTAACTCATGATTCGGTAAAAAGTTAAGCTTTAGTCATAATCTTGAATATACAGCTTTTTAGAAATTTAATGACTGGTAAATACCACCATTCAATATTAATAGTAATTATATATATCGATAATACCACTATAAAAATAACGGGAATCCACCAAACTTACTTATCCAACACTGATAAGCTTGGGGACTTTTAATTTACACTTAAAATATACTTAATATACATCGGGAATCCACCAAATTTAATTATCCAACACTGATAAGCTTGGGGACTTTTAATTTACACTTAAAATATACTTAATATACATCGGGAATTTAATTTTTCTATTGAAAAAAAAAAAAAATAATAATAAAAATAAATAAATAAATAAATAAAATAAATATATTGCTATACATAAAATAAATTCATATTCATTTTCTTCCTGGCATGCTACAGAACTTATTCTGAACATACTGATATTCCAATGCAATACATTTTAAAAGGTTTATATTGTATATGGTCGTAATAAAGTTGTAAAATGAAAAATATCTTTGAAATAATATTCCAGCTTTTAGTGATTTTTCGTATATTTTTTATTTACCTTGCGATGAACATGATGAAAGTTAAATGATGTAAATTTTAACCGAGTATAAATATTTATAACTTTCGACACATACTCTAATTTTTTTCTCGAAAGAGAAAAACCCCATTTAATTGATAACCAGTTTAGTTAAATATAAAAACTTTAGTTTGTGATGGGTTTACCTCTAAAGACATAGCATTTAGTACATCATTGGGATAAACCATTAAGTCCTTTTATATATATATATATAATTTGAATAATTACGAATTTGAATTAAATAGGCAACATTAAAAAAACATAACATGATTTACGAACATTTAATGTATACATACAGGAAGTTAAACCGAGCCATAAAATTTAAAATACAATTTAATGGTAGCCTATCAAATGTCCACATTGACAGTCTGAATAATGTGTAAAGACAGCATCGGCAGGAGGGCAGGCAATATAGACCCCAATCGTATGAAATAAAGATCATAAACGTTTTGGCTGGCAATACTGACCCAAAACAAGATACGGTTGTAATTATATGAAATAAAGATAATAAACGTTTGGGCAGGCAATACTGACCCCAAAACAAGCATAGCATTTTATTACTCAAGGTCATATATTAGTAAACGTTTTGGCAGGCAATGCTGACCCAAAACAAGACATTTGTAATTATATGAACTAAAGATCATAAAATGTTTTGGCAGGCAATGCTGACCCAAAACAGAAGCATAGCATTTTATTACTAAAAATCATATAAACCGTTTTGGCAGGCAATGCTGACCCAAAACAAATTAGTTGTAGTTGTATGAAATAAAGAGCATAAACGTTTTGGCAGGCAATACTGACCCACAGCAGAAGCATAGCATTTTTTTTTTACTAAAGATCATATACTAGTTAACGTTTTGTCAGGCAATGCTGACCCAAAACAAGACATTTGTAATTATATGAAATAAAAATCATAAAACGTTTTGGCAGGCAATGCTGACCCAAAACAAGACAGTTGTAATTGTATGAAATAAAGATCATAAAACGTTTTGGCAGGCAATGCTGACCCAAAAATAGATAGTTGTAAATGTATGAAATAAAGATCATAAACGTTTTGTCAGGCAATACTGACCCGAAACAGCTGAAGAATAAAGTTCTGTTACTTACTTAATTCTTTTTAGCTGTAAAATTCCATAAACGCATTTGACTTAAATCCTTGAATCACGGATAGGACAATTACATCCATGAACTGCAGCAGAAGTCTTTGTTTTTTCCTTCTTCTAAAACTAAGTGCTGTATAGTTACGAGAGTCCAAGACAAATAACGACATAGCTAACCTTTAAAGAGATGGTGGAATAAAAGCAATTGATGCTTTGGACTTTCATTGGAACTAGAGTCCAGTTGTATATCCAAATGCTGATCGAAGTCGTTTTTTGTAAATTTGTATTTATAAAACAGTCAAAGTAGGCTTTGGTAAGTCAATGATTCTTGTTGATATGACTCGCACGTCTAGATCAAAATTATAATCTCGAAATTAGGTATGTGTCATTAAATAATGTCAGTGAAACAGCAACCCATCAACATTCGTATGTTTTTATTATCGGAACTATGGCATACCGCTGATATATGAAAGTATATGTAAGTTGTTGATATCACGCTTTATTGCACATTTCCTTCAATGGGAAAAAGTTCTTTCGTAGATCAATACCAGACTCAGCGCTCTTTGTCCATAGTTAAAGCATGAAATAAACAAAATTAGAATGTAAAAGATAGGAAAAACTTAAAGTCTCATTAAAAAACAAACTTGATCTTACTCTATGACCACAAACATAACGCACGTTAAGGAATAGTATACTATGATTTAATTATCATAGTTTCTTCTTCTTCAATAACCAACCATTAAACAGACATGATTTTTATATATTATGTATTAAATGAAGAGTATGAACATTAAAATATTATCAGTATGTCTTTTCCATTGTTATTTTTAATAATAAATCTACTATAAAGTAAAAGCAAACGAGCTTACAATGCATAAGTATTGGCATAAAAATTATCAATTACGTTCATCGCAACCCAAACTATATCATGTACATGAATTATACTAGTAAACATAATTATAATAAAATAATACATTAAAAACATGTATTATAAACTGACAAACATGTGAATCTAGCTACATGTCTCAAAATACTGGCAATTTTGTATGTAGCAAAAGGATTGATTACAAAAATATTTTATTCCAAACCAATCACCATGACGAAATAATAATTAAAAGTAGCATGAGTTTCATGACGAAGCATAAAACTATACAGAGATCATAGACCAAGCTACTACGGCCTCTGCAAAAAAAGTAGCTTGAGTTTCATGACGAAGCATAAAACAATACCCACTACATACTAACATATTTACAAAAGCAAATACACAGAGGTCATAGACCAAGCTACTACGACCTCTGCAAAAGTAGCCTGAGTTTCATGACGAAGCATAAAACAATACCTACTACATAATAACATATTTGCAAAGTCGATACACAGAGGTCATAGACCAAGCTACTAGACCTCTGCAAAAACAATACACAGAGGGCATAAGTACAAACAACCTCGCCCTCTGCAAAAATTAAAATATCGTCCACATTACCCAAACAGGCAAAGACAGGTAAATTGGTTCGTAATACATAAGCATTGGGTTGCGATATAGGTAAGAGACATATCCTTTTTATACCGTTAACATTAAGCAAACAAGGTACACCTGCATAAATTAAAATACTAACAATTATAGCGATTAGGCTAACTTGCAAAAATTATAAGCTCCAAACAAACCACCGTGACGAGATTTACGAAAGTAGCATGAGTTTCTTGACATAGCATAAAACAATGAACACTAAATAAAACATAATTGCAAAAGGAAATACACAGAGGTCATAAGTACAAGCAACCAAGCTCTCTGCACCAATTGAAATATCGTCCACCTTACCCAAACAAGTAAGGCAAATGGGTTTGTAATCCAATAAATAATAGCATAGCCTTAAAACTTAAACTCTCTTGCTCTTTCATATGAGAGTGTTTAAATGTATGGAATCGTGAATAACATCGTATATAAGTGTGTAACTTTGCATTCTATCATGTATGGTATTATTATCGTTATGCAACAAATTTTGTATTTGAAGTTCGTTCATGTCTCCTACAGATACACAAGGCGGATATACGTTCTGCAAACATTAGGATGCTATTAAGGATTCAGTAACTTGTAAAATTACAACATAGGGTTAATCATCAGCTATCATTTTTTATAAGTATGGTAAATAATTACATTTTGATCGCAAACGCACAGTGTCGCCACCAACACCAAAATTAATTTGACCCACTATCTCTTTGACAAAGAAATGAATTTGACCAATTAACTGCTACATGTTTTGCATAAATCAAAATCGTGAGATCTATCCGAATGGAAGAATGGTAAAAAATTAACTGTACGTTTGTTCAGAATGTAAGCATAAAATATAGTTCGATTTTACCTCAAATTGCTAAAAGGAAATCACTCCAGTCAAAAATTATCCATAACATTAAAATTTTTAACAAATTGTTTGATAAGAATCACAAGTTAACACATCAAATGCTGATGATAAAAGGAAGTGGCCACAACGCACTTACACGTGAACTCATGCTGACCCCGCAAGATCATTGACCAATGAGAAAGATGTAATCCAATCATGCACTGGTAATAAGTGAAATTTCTCTGCACGTGAAAACATGTTATCTAATTTCAACAATTTATCGTTTGATTAAGTAGGACACTCTGACCCTTTGAACAGACTAGAGACATGATAAATTTACAGTATAAATAGCCCACTCTTTATTTTAGACTTAGTAATAAACAATTAAAACAGAATTATCTTTTCTGCTGTCTTAAATTATTTTATTCAGCTTTATTTTCAATTAGCAAATAAAATTGGTTATAATTTTTCATTATTCCACATATCTATTTATGTTACAGAGGTAGTTTTATATTTCTCTGATGGTACAATTTAGACTAAAAAAAGCTTTGTATACCCATTTATATTATTAATTTCCACACCCCATGTCCTTGTTTCATGTTGTGAATTTTTTCCACTGAAACATACAAAATTACATATTATTAGTGAAAAGCAATTTTCAAGTTATTAACTGTATATTGGCATTTTACTTTAGC